TTTGGGAAGGGTGCCTTGTACGCCAGCTGGCCCTGCTCTGCTACCTGGCAAGGCAGACGGGCCAGCGGGAGACGGACTGCCCCGAGGAGGAGGAGGAGGAGGAGGAGGGCGGCACTGACGCTCGCACACCTCTTCCCCAGGGGCTGATGGAGACCGTCGTGAGCATCCCATCGAGAGGAAGGTGGTCCGACCCAGGCGGGGCTTCCCAGCACTCGTCCAGAGACCCCGCAGAAGCTCCACGCCTGCCCAAGTCCCCCAGGCCTCCCCCGTGTGCCCAGCCGTGCCCAAGGCGCTGGCAGTGGGAGCACCCCTGTGCGCTCCCCCCGGGACGCCGAGCAGCCGGGGCGAAGCAGAGCGAGCTGCGCAGCCGCCACGGGCCTCGGTGGATGTGGCGGTGCCCCCCAGCCCCTCCCCTTCCTGGGTGCGGATGCCCAGCATCACCTGGCATCCCACGTGAGGGGCCGGGCTGCGGAGTCCGAGTGGGGCCCCCGCAGCGGATCCAGCCGTCCCTCCACAGGTGCGCTCCGGCTCGGCCCACAGACTGGCATGGAGCGCCTCAGGAGCAGCCGCCTCTCCGCCCTGGTTCGGAGGGAGCAGCGTCCGGCTCCTGGAATTCCACATCAGGCGCAAGCGGATCCAGCACGCCTGCGGCCCACCCGCCCTGGTGCTCCAGTCCCGGCACGACTTCGCCCCGTTCGGACCCCATTGCAAGGAGCTCCACCGGTGCGCGTCCCCCCAGCGGGCCTCAGGGGAGTCCCAGGCCAGAGAGGAGAGCGGAGAGGCCCTGGAAGAGGCGGCGGAACAGAAGAAGGGGAGGAGCAGGAAGAGGCTGCGGCCGAGAGCCTCGGAGACCTGGGGGAGCAGGCTCAGTGGCCGGATGCTGAGCCCAGGAGGCGTCTCCTGCACAAGCCCAGGCTGAGGCCATGGACCCCCTGGGGAAAGTGGAGAGCCAGCAGGGGAGACGCCCTGGCCCCTGCCCTGTCCATCCGGGCCCTCACCCGCATCCCCTTGTCGAGATGGGGAGGGGCAGCCGCTCCTCCGCATGGAGGATGCCCAGGGGAAGCATCAGGAGGAGCAGGCGCAGGCTCAGAGGATCCCCCCAGAGACCAGTCAGAGCTGCCCCCCAACATCAGCCAAAGTGGGGGAACGACGTCCCGGCTGGACACGGAGGAGCCATCACCCTGCCCGGCCACCAAAGCCAGGCGTCCTGCCACAGTCCGGGGGACGAGTGGCGGCTGGGAGGCCAGGACAGAGGCGCCCCGGAGGAGCCTCCCGCAGAAGGGGCCTCTGCAGCAATCCGTGGGGACGTGGCGTCGGAGCGAAGGCCGCGGCACGCAGGGTCCGGGGGCTCTCTCTTCTTCCAAGGAGCCCCTGCTGGGGAGGCCCCCGGGGCCCCCGGGAGGCAGACCCGAAGCCGCGGCCAGCAAGAGTCCGCCGCGGGCTGGCAGGACGCAGCTCCAGATGGTTGAGTGCCAGCGCAAGAGCTGTTTGCCGCCACGGCCCCGGGAAGGGCCCGGACCCTCCCTGCGATCGGCTGCAGGGCACGAACGGCGGCGAGGGGGTGCCCTGGGGAGCGAGGGGAGAGGAGGGGAGATCGGGACGCTCGGCCTCCCCTTCCCCATCACCCAAGGGCCGCGGAGAGCAGTGCCAGCCTCCCTTCGGAAGGCCCGAGCGGCCCTTGGCAGCCTCAAGCGGCGCCTGAAGACGGGCGAGGGGGCCCCCCAGCCACGCGGCCACCGGCCTGCCGCCCAGCCCGCCCCAGGGGGCCCGAAGGCTCCCCCCACGGCCCCTCCTGCTGCCAGGGGAGCCCTCCTGGCTCGGGTGCCGAGGGGAGGTGAGGCCTCCGGGTCCGACGAGGGGCTTCTCGGCGCGGAAGGAGCGGCCATCATCGGGGCGAACCTGGAGAGGAGGCTGCACCTGCGGGAGGGGCTGGTGACCTGGGGGCAGAGCCGTGGGTTGTGCCCCTTTCCTATGGAACCCGCGCAAACGGCCGTTCTCCGGAGGGATCGGGTGGGATCCGTCTCCATACGGGCTTGGAATCGCACTGCCGACCCGTGCTCCAGCTCTCCCTCTTCCTGCAGAAGGGAAGCCCCGTGATTTGGCAGGAGATGCTCCTCGCCCCGTCCTGCGCACAAGGTGCAGCTGTGCTGCCGCTCAGCAGGGCGCTCGTCCGCGGCCACTGGAGTCGGCTCCCGACCTGGAGGGCAGCTGGCCCGCTGGGAAATGCTCCTGGCCTGCCTGAAAGGGGGTTCTCCGACCCGCATGCGCATTCCCAAGTCTGCGTGCTATCAGAGCGTGGCAAGCGCAGGCACGTCTGCTCTGCCAGACTCGGTAGCCCGGTCAGGCAGCCGGCGAAGACTCGCCCCTCCCCATGCCTCTCAGCTGCTCTGCTATGCTCTCAGGAAGCCCCTCGCGGAGGGCAGGGGGGCTGCTAGCGACTTCTCACCGTCGGGCTCCTGCCACGACCCGCGAAGGCTCCCCTGCCAGCTGGATGCGCCCTTGGGGGGCCTCTGCTCCCCGGCTCGTGCCTGCACCGCCTCGTCCTTCCCCCCAGCTCTCCGCCGCTTCCCTTCCTTTCACTGTCCACGAAGAGCCCCTTCCCTCCTGCCACCAGACGATGACAACCACGCTGATGGGGACAACAGCGGGACTGCGTCATTCCGGGTCCTGCTCCACGGGCAGAGGGCGGAGGGCACCAGGTCGGGGAAGCCAGTGCTGGATCGAAGCCACTGGGCTGGCCTGCAGGAGATGCTCCCAGCGGCTGCCCTCCTGGGCCCCTCCAGAGACAGACACCGGGTGGCTCACCGGGGCCTTTAGCACTGAAGGAGAACAGTGTGATGCAGAGGCCCCGGCCAAGCCCCTTCTGGCTTTGGGGCGGAGAACCCCTCCTGCACAGAAAGGAAGGGTGCCGGGGGAGCGGGAATCGGTGCTGTGGAACAGGCTCCTCTGAGGGCTCCAAATCCGCCCATTTGCCCTCCTGGGGAGACGCCTCTCCCTGCCAGCAGCGCTGATGGGCCTCCCTGAGCCGCCCGGTGTCTGCTCCCAGAGGCGACCCAGGAGGCAGCCTCCGGGAGCATCTCCTGCAAAACGGCGTCTTCCTCACAGCCCAGCCCGGCGCTTCGATCTAGTGCAGACTTCCCCAACCTGGCGCCCTCCGCCCCATAGGCAAGCAGCAGGATGGGAACTCAGGCGATCCGGTTGTGGCCCCGTGGAGATCCCAAGTGGGCCGAGGCCTCGACCAGGGGGCAGGAGAGGTTCGCCTGCCACCCTCTTTATATTCTTTGTGACACTGGGCCAAGAACCTCTTTCCCCACTGGTATGTTCATTGTTAGTCTGGTTGTAAAGATGGTATCAGGGAGTGTGATTGTGCCTTTCATGTCACTGTAGGTCCAGTTAAGATGCGACACAGGTGTGAGCTATTGTTATTTGATTAAGTATTTAATAGCGTGCTTCTAATGTTTCATGCAGTCTTTTATATGGGGTCATTGCCTGTAACCTGCCCAGGGCGCCGCGAGGCCAATACTCCAATCCATCAATCCATCACCAATCAAGCAAGCAAGCAAGCAAGCAAGCAAGCAAGCGCCCGGGCGGGAGGGTGAGGTGCTGCGCCAGGCATGTCCGCGCGGTGGCAGCAGAGGCGCGGGGAAGCCGGGGCGCGTCAGGCCCGGGCAGACCGGGCCCCGTCCGGCGCGATTCGGGGAACGGCCGTGCCAGGCGTGGCGGCAAGGGCGGCCGGAGGTCGCTGCGGAGTGGGGGGGCTGAGCTGAGGGGGAGTCCCGGGAAGCAGGAGGAGCCCCCCCACTCCCAGGCCTGCAGCCCTCGGATCTGTCCCTGGACGCAGCGGCCCGGATCCAGCCACAACGACCTGCGCTGCGTTCCAGGCCCAGCTCTAGCCGGGAATTCAAGGGGTCCCGGGGCTCATCCCGCCCACCGTATCCTCACAGCAACCCTGCGAGGTGGGCTAAGCGGAGGGAGGGGGAACAGCCCAAGGCCACCCAGTGGATTGCATGGCGGACAGGGAATTCGAATCTGGGCTTCTTCAGCCCCCATCTGTTGGCTCTAACCACTACACCAGCCTTTCCCAGCTGTGGTCCCCAGGTGATGCCAGGGACCATCCGGAGCAGAAGCCATGCTTTTGGGGCTGATGGGAGTTGCATCCCAAGAGCATCTGCGAAAATAATACATAAATAATATTGGCTTCCGTGGGACTTCTCTGCATCCCCCTCCCCCCGGTGGAGGGTCTTCCCCTTTCGTTGTTTTCTGCAGGGCTTGGATGTGGATCCCAGTCTTGTGGAAGGCAGGTGGGCTCCGGGGTGGGGGGGGGCACCTTGCATGAAGGCCCCAAGAGGACGCTTGATGCGGGCTGGGAGGCCCCAGTGACGGTGCAGCCTCCTCTTCTTCAGAGGCAGTCCCGGGAGCTCTTGGTCCTGTGGCTGGAGACGCCGCATGGGCCCCTGAGAGAATCGTGAGCAGCCCTCCGCTTTCCGTCAGGCGCCTCCTGGCAGCAGGGCGAGCGGGGCAACGAACAGCCAGATAGAAGCTGACGTTCCCATTTCCCATCACCTTGCTGAGAAGGTTACCCAGGCCTCCATCCAGCATCGCAGGACCAGCTCTGGCCGCCCTTTCCTATGGAACCTGTTGCAAGCAGCCGTCCTCGTGAAGGATCCCACGGGGTGCGTCTCCATGTGAATGCAACGAAACCACAGTATCAAATACACACGACGACGAAAAATAAACACTGCAATAGATTATGGAAGGCAGAAAGAGCAACGGCAGAAATAATAGCGTGCTTTTATTTTCCCCATAGTTTCAGAACATTCAGCTTATGGAAGAATTCACTCAGGCCGTCTCTGAGCTAAAGCCACTTTAGAAGCACGGATCCCATCAGTAACAAAGTCAGCAAGCATTTTTTCCCTTTGGAGTCGAGGGAATTGCAGGATGGGGAGCAACTTGCAACGGGCTCTGTGCCTTCTCGGAGCTGAACATTGCAAAGGGGTCGCGGAGCCAGTTTTCCGAGCCTGCTAAGGCTGTGGCCGGAGCAATGCGTAGAAACATCATGGATTGCAGCCTGGTTTTCTTCCTGGGATTTTGGAATGTTCCTCGCAGCTCTTCTTCGAGGTGTTTTCTCTGCTGTGGGGCTTATTCCATTCTGGTCAGCAGCGCCCTGCCGAGCGTCTTCCCACCGTGTGCGATGCAGTTTGAAGCCCTCCTGTTGAGCTTCTGCATTTGGTGGCCAAGGACTTGGTTTCTGCACGTTGAGAGGCGCAACCCATCATTTGTCAGCAGTCCGCATCCGAGAGGTTTATCTTTTCATTCCACAATCCCAGTTTCTCTCTGGTATTTACTTGGAATATTTTTCTCTCTGCAGGCCTTTCGGGTCTTGGGCCTGAAGAGGGAGGGAGCCGTGAGAGCCACACAGAGAAGCCGGAGGGACATCTGAGCGAGGAGGGCCCGGGAAGGAGGGAAGCACCCAGAGTTGGGAATGCGCATGCGGGTCGGAGAACCCCCTTTCAGGCAGGCCAGGCGCATTTCCCAGCGGGCCAGCTGCCCTCCCGGTCAGGAGCCGACTCCAGTGGCCGCGGACGAGCGCCCTGCTGAGCGGCAGCACAGCTGCACCTTGTGTGCAGGACGGGGCGAGGAGCATCTCCTGCCAAATCACGGGGCTTCCCTTCTGCAGGAAGAGGGAGAGCTGGAGCAGTGCGATTCCAAGCCCATATGGAGACGGATCCCACCCGATCCCTCCGGAGAACGGCCGTTTGCACGGGTTCCATAGGAAAGGGGCACAGCGAGCGCCCATCCCGTGGTGGACCGACGCCTGGATGATGTTCTGGCACTGGCAGCTCCTGAAGGGAAGCCTTTCTCCACACATGGAAACCTTGCAGGAGTTGCCCCTTCCTTCCTTCCTTCCGTCCTTTCTTTCTTTCTTTCTTTCTTTCTTTTTCTTTCTTTCGTTCCTTCCTTCCTTCCGAAAAGATGCTCTGTGCGTTAACCATGCATTCCATCTTCTTTGCATCTTACAGTTCCCTCCTTTTCTTTCTTGAGAGAGCTGAAGCAGGCTCGCGAGGAAAAGCCCTGGCCACTTGGAGCGCAGGTCCATGAACCCAGCCTCCTGCTTCCGACAGTGATCCGCCGGAGGGGCTTGGGAAATACAGAAAAAGAGTAAATCTTGAGCGCTGATCTTGGCAGCAGCTGGTGGCTTTCCTACAGCTCATTTCACCTCTGACTGACATACGATGGCAGCCGCAAGAGGGATAACCAGGTTCCGTCAGGAACGACCCCTTTCGCCTTGAAGCTCAGCATTTTTATTGACCAATCACCCAGGACCCCTGCAGTGACTTACGACACCATGCGGCCGAGCAGCGCTTCTCACCGCCAACTGCAAAATCACAGCCAATGTGCAGACGCTTTTATAACCTGCCAGTCATGTCCCCCAATACAAGCCAGCGAAGTGAGAGGCCTGTAGAAAGGAGGCGGCTCGCCCCCAAGCAGCCCCTTCGGAAGGGACCGGGCCGGTCGTGCTCCGAGCAAGGCCTTCCGGACCTCGTGGCTCAGACGGGCTTCCGCGGGGCTTCGTTCCGGGGTGGTGGCGCTCGTTGCGAGCCAGGGGCTTGAAAGTGGCATCCAGCCCCAGCCTCCTTCCGGCCCCAGCAGAGCGCTGGGGCATCCTGGCCCACGGTCCCCTGGCCACCCGCGAGGAGCAGCTGGTCCCCACGGGCCATCCCTCCTCACCCGTGCCCCGAACATCGTGGCAGAGGCAGCAGGAACGGCCAGGGGGACACGCAGCATGCTGGAGCTCCTTTCGACCCACTGGGCAATCCACACATGCTGGGCATTGCACGTGGGGTGACCTGCTGTTGTTTCGGAAAGGGGTCCTTCTAACTTGGGGCAGGGGGAGAAGGAACCGCACAGCAGGGGCTTCGGGGGGCACCCTCCCCCCCACACCTTTTGCCA